CCTGTAATCCCAACTCTTAGGGAGGCAGAGATGGGAGGATAGCTTGAGCCCAGGAGTTCGAGACCTGCCTGGGCAATATAGCAAGACCCCGTTCTCCACAAAAAGGAGAAAAACAAAAAGACCAAAAAAATAAGCTTAAAAATTTAAAAAACTAGCCAGGCATGGTGGTGGGTGCCTATAATCCCTGCTACTAGGGAAGCTAAGGCAGGGAATTGCCTAAACCCGGGAGGCAGAGGTTGCAATAAGCTGAGATCACGCCACTGCACTCCAGCCTGTGAGACAGAGTGAGACTCCATCTCAAAAAAACAAAAGAAAAATTAATTAACAGTGAGTTGATTCATTATTATGATACCCTATTTTTTAGGTGATAACCTAAGGGTTTAACTGCTCATGAAATGCTTACTCAATTTTCTTTTTTGAGAAAGAGTCTTGTTCTGCTGCCAAGGCTGGAGTGCAGTGGCGCAGTCTTGGCTCACTGCAACCTCCGCCTCCCAGGTTCCACCAATTTTCCTGCCTCTGCCTTCTGAGTAGTTGAGATTACAGGCACATGCCACCATGTCTGGCTAATCTGTTTTTTTTTAGTAGAGATAGGGATTCACCATGTTGGCCAGAATGGTCTTGATCTCTTGTGATCTGCTCACTTTGGGCTCCCAAAGTGCTAGGATTACAGGTGTGAGCCACTGCGTTTGGCAGATTTTTGTATTTTTAATAGAGACGGGGTCTCACCATGTTGACCAGAATGGTCTCGATCTCTTGACTTCATGATCTGCCCGCCTTGGGCTCCCAAAGTGCTAGCATTACAGGCATGTGCCACTTTGCCAGGCCAATATTTATATTTTTAGGAGAGACTAGGTTTCACCCCGTTGGCCAGGATGGTCTCGATCTCTTGACTTCATGATCTGCCCGCCTTGGGCTCCCAAAGTGCTAAGATTACAGGCTTGAGCCACCACGCCCAGCCCATTCTTTTTTTTTTTTTTTTTTTTTTTTTTAAAGTAGAAGTTGGTGAGTTTCCTTTATTATCCTCAAACCAAATTATTATCAAAAAATAGAAGATGGGCTCCCATTATTGGGTTTCTTTGAGTTCTGATTAGCAGAATTCATTTTTAAATCTAAATTCTTTTGGTTTTTAGTTATTTGCCAGGATTGTAATTGTGCAGTTTAGTCTTTGGTCATTCCACATTTAGCTTAGTGTGATGCAGAATGCCAAATAAGTTCTTACAAAGGTCAGCAAACATGATTTTTGTGTCACTGACCCAAATGTGACCCAAGTGATTTCTGGAAAGTTATTCTCTGTATAGCTATCTGTGATGTGGGCTGGGGAAGAGAACACTGAACTTCTTTAGAACCTGTTGTACCACTAGTTTTTTGGGTTGGTTTTTTTTGTTTGTTTTTCAAAATGGAACCTGGCTGTGTCATCCAGGCGGGAGTGCAGTGGCACGATCTCGGCTAACTGCAACCTCTGCCTCCCAGGTTCAGGAGATTGTCCTGCGTCAGTCTCCAGAGTAGCTGGGAACTATAGGCATGCGCCACTATGCCCTCTAATTTTTTGTATTTTTATTAGAGGTGGGGTTTCATCATGTTAGGCTGGTCTTGGAACTCCTGACCTGAAATGATTCACCCACCTTGGCCTCCCAAAGTGCTGGGATTATAGGCATGAGCCACCACACCCAGCTTTTTTTTTACTTTTTTTTTTT